CTATTTCTAAACAGGAAAGCTATAGAAGCTTATCTAATCTAAGGAAAGTTCCACTTCCTTACAGGTATACCTTCTATCTCGTGTATCTAAAGAGAAAGTATCTAACGGTTTCTATTACCTATCTATAGGCACATTAGTCCGATTCTGCTACTCTAATTTAGTGAAGGTATTTATTAAGTCGTGCTATTCCTATGTAGAGCTATGCTAACACGCTCGCTTCTCTCCTTTTAAAGGTGTTATATAGGATTCGAGTGTGCTTACCTAGTAGTGATGTGTCTATATCTCTTAAATACTTCCCTACTCCTTTCGGTAGTGTTTTCTTCTACCTCTACTTTACTCTTATAAGATTTATAGTTGTAGACTTAGCTTAGCGGCATTACCCTTTTAGTAACTAGCTATACTCGGTCGCCTATCGTGCTACTTTCCTTACTCTCTTACCTAGATCGAAGTCTCCTTCGGACGGGACCTATACTATAGAGATAGAATTGCCTTCTTTTCTTAGCCTATAAGTAGCTTTATAGATCTCTTTAATGCTAGCTTATCCTAATTAAAGTTTTAGCTAGCTTACTGCTAGTAGAGCCCCCTAATTACTCGTGAAAATAGTGATTTACCTTCCTACTATATATAGTGGTAAGCGCTTTATTACTATAGCTATCGCTGCGAGTTCCGCTAGATATAGATTCTGTTCCATTCTTATTCCTAAGATAATTAAGTACGTAATCGGTTCTCTGCTTATTACGATACTAAGAGTATTATAAATAGCTCCCCCTATACCTACTATCCCCTTTCTCTTAGACGAGCTTGTCGCAATCTGTATACCGTGAATAGCGTTGGCGGTCTCTATAGCCTTCTCCTTATCGGGGTCGATTATAGCGGAAAGCCGTTCCTTCTACAGGGCTACTACATAGGGTTGAATGACCTCTATCCTGTCTGTTGGCGTGCGTTAGTGCGCGCGGGCTATCTTCTTTTTCTGGCACATAAGGCGGTATGAGCCATAATCACGTGTATCATTCACGTGATGGAAAACTGCCAGCGAAGGGCAAGGGAAAGTCATCCCGTTATGGAATCTCAGAGAGCCTATCGGCCTTACCACTATAGGATATGCTAACTCAAGTTCAGGAGGCTCCAGAATTGTCCAATCAACGAGCTTTGAATCCACTAGGATCCTTGGTCTTGGGGAAAACGTGAGATTTAGTGAATAGTAGTTTCTTTCGGAATGACATCTCAAAATTGGCATCTATATTCTATCAAGCAATCTACAAAGTCTTTCTGGTCAAATTGAGTTTGAAGTGAGAACCTTGGAAGAAGATCTGCTGAGAGATCAGCATACACGTGACTCGGATTTTAGTGTCTTAGCGTTTCTCTCCCCTCATTAGCGCCTAATGCTTATCCAGACGTTCTCGCTGTTCAGCACCATGCTTCAATCCAACCCTTTATGGGACCAGCGGCAAAGCAAAACCGGTACAGGCGTTCATCTGCAGCCATCAAGTGTGTCTCTTGTGGTGGCTTTTCCGTAGCTTTTATTCATTTTCCTGACACATACCGAAGGATCCTCCAAGGGCGTTTCATGCTTCCTTTCCACTTGTCCTGAGCTCCATAACGCTGCTTTCTGATAGGAGGACGAGTGCCAACCAGGTCAGATCCGCTTCGCGTCTCGCATCTCAACTGCCAGGCTAGGCACAACCCAGCCGCATCATCGCATTACACCTGAACCTCAATCTGGAACACAGTCACTCCCCCAGGATACCAACACGTTTCTGGCTTTGTCATTCTAAGACAAACAAGAGCCACGATGGTCCTCGAACCGTTAAGCGCATTCTCGGTGACCTGCAATGTGCTTCAGGTAATCGAGTTTGGATCGAAAGTGTTGAACAATGCTGTGGACTACCGAAAAGCCGCGAACGGAGCGTTATCCGAGCACCAAGATCTTCGGAATATCTTGCCGTCTCTCATTGATCTCAATGCGGATTTGCGGGCTTCGATGCCTAAGCTAGGGGGAACAAAGCCCCTGAGTACGGCTGAAACTCGTTTGTTAGAAGCCAATGCTGAGTGCTTACGGTTGTAAAACGAATCCATCGATCTCCTTGATCGGCTGAAGGTCAAGAACCGGCACGCAATGCTGGAATCTCTACGGATGAGTATCAAGGCATTGTGGTACAGGGAGAAGATGGAAGCAATGGAAACGCCCTTTCACAAGCTCGAGATAACCTGAACGTCGCGTTCTTGGTCTATATTAAGTACGTCTCGAAATACAGACATTTCTAAGATCCTCACTTACGAGTGCAATCTCAGTTCCAAGCAAGCCACCGCAACGAGTCAAAATGATATCCTAAGATCCACCGCGCGCGAAGAAGGGAGCATCCTGAATGCGGTCAATTCCTCTCCAGGTTCGATAAAAAATGAGATCAGACTGCTTGCCGAGCGACTCGAGAGTACCAGTCTAGACTCCGTACAGCAGACGGTCTCAGAGTTCCTAACATCAAATCGGGATCTTCTAGAAAATTTGTCTGACCAATTAAATTCCATCCTTACTCAACACAAGGATTTACAGGCACTCGCAGACGAACGTCAGGTAGCAGATGCTCGGCACAAAATCTTAGACAGCCTCCAACTCCCTCAAATCCAGGAGCGTAGACATCGGATCCACGAAGCCTACAAGGAAACCTACCAATAGATCCTGCGACCTATACCCAATTAAAGACAGCGCTAGAATAGTCTGACTGCATGGTTATCCTCTTGCGCAGTCCCAAGAAGGATCTACTGGATTTGTGGTAAACCAGAATGTGGAAAATCTATGCTAATGCGGTTTATAGATGAAAATATCAGCGTTCAGGACCACATGCTCCCATGGGCTGAAGATGGTACAGTAGTACGAGCACAATGTTTCTTTTGGAATCCTGGACACGCGTCACAAAAGTTCTTGACCGGTCTTCTACGGTCCCTATTAATGCAACTACTCAAACAAACGCCAAATTTGATACCTCAGGTAACGTATTCTATAAGCGAGTGGCTCACTCAAGCGAGCGGCTCACTCGAATACTCACCAAAAACCACGAACTCTAGACCACGATATCTCAACAACAGCTTTATAATAAATTCTAAAACTTCACAATTAAGCTCTTCTATACTCTCCAAATCCTATATATCGATTTTTAAGAAATTCGTTAAGTAGTTCTCGGGATCTTATCTTTCGACTCCTAAATCTAGCCCGAGTCATAACATCTCTAAAACTACTTAATAAAATGCTTCGAAATTGATATAGGAGACCACGAAGGTATAGAAAAGCCTAGTTATAAAGTTCTAGGATTTATTATAAAGCTATTATTGAGATATTGCGGTCTAGAGTTCGTGGTTTTTAGTGAGTATTTAAGTGAGCCGCTCGCTTGGGTGAGCCACTTGCTTGTAGAATACGTTAACTATATTATCTATTAATTGTATCCTTTAGCTCTATAACACCCTTTTTTTTTTATAGATATACCCCTTATAATATTAGTGTCATTATAATAGGCCTCTTAAATTTAGATTTATTACCTATAGAGATCTTTAATTAGAGCTAATTATATATAAAGATAATAGTTGAATATTAACTCTCGTGATTAGTATTAGAATATAGATGTATAACTACCTTCCTCTAGTAGATATAGATTATTACTCTATAGAGAAAAGCTGGGTTAAAGGTTCTAGAAGATATATTCTCTACTATATATTACAGTTAGATTACTTATATATAGAATAGCGAGAGAGATACAACCACTTAGTTTTTACTAATAGATCCTTTATTTCTACTATATCTATTAAGATCACATTTATAGCGCTAGAATGGTGGATCAACCTATAGTAACACTAGGCTTATCCTCTCCTCTTCCGAGTGGTAATAGATCTCTTATCGGTCTAGCAATATCGGCGGAGGCAGAGCGGGTTTCCTTGGGTGAAAGGAGAATACTCAGCTGGAATAGAGCACGTCTTGGAGGAACAAGAATAGAGAGTTTGGAATGCCTCTTGCATTGGTTGATGACTCAACTAATGGAGGAGCTTTATATTGCTACCACAGAGGATCTTCCTACGGGTGCGGAGCTGGCGGCGACGGTGACAGTAAAGAACGACTCGGTGGCCAATCTCACGGTCGCCGAGAGCAGTAGTAGACCGCTCAATATTGAGATGTCGATATCACTCAATTCAATATATAATCAATATGACTCCACATTGAATATTGAATATCGAATACATCACTGCGTCCAAGTACCTAACACTGCTAAGAATTGACACCAGAATACGTGCTCTATGCTTCTAGTATTGCTGCCAATTCGGAATTTATTTCTAAACTAATGAGAATCACACATAAGACGGATTCCGACCTAAATTTACTTGCATTCGCCGAGGCAGTAAGCTTGCTGCCACAGTGAAAAAAGCCTTTAAGTCGCTATTGCTTGGACACCGTAGAGACAGCTTTCCGAAACGGATCGATGAGAAATGCGGATGACGAGTGGTTGTTGCGCGTGTGCTGCAGAGGGGAGGGAACGTTTGCCTGACCTGGTTCGAGGTGCAGTCGACGAGAGGGCCGAGCTCTGCGGCGATGGCAGCGTTGGGGGTGTTGCAGTCGACGGAGGATTTGGTGCGCAGATAGTCAAGTTGCGTGAGAGGCATTTTGGCTTATGCTTCGGAGCAGTGATAGGGAGGAAGCTTGAAGTATACCTCATCTCGACATTGTCTCGGTGTATTAATGTCGCGATAGCGGGGCAGGATGGGTACCTTGCTCCAAGCTTCGACCGCATGTAAGACGCTAAGCCTGTTTGATCAGTAGCATCAGTGGGGTATAGCTTGAGATGGGCAGAGGTATAGGTTTTATATAAGATAGAGACAGAAGAAGTATACAAGCAAAACAAAAACAGCAAACCAACTAAGAACAAGTAAACCAAGATCCTCTATGAACGCCGCCGCTATGTAGTAAACGCTTCAGACTCTAGCCGCCATGCATCAAATGCTCCAGACCCCAGCCTCTACTAGTGGTGGACACGAATTCTCGGCCCAGCAACCTTGTTGTTCCACGCAATGTCGACCTGATCGTTCTGGCCAACCAACTCTCCAGCGATAGTCTGGCCAGCGGGGCACGGGAAGAAGGCACTCGTCGCCGGACCTTCGACGATGGTGGCCCTGCCCGGCTTGACTGCCTCCATGGTACCAAGATTCTGATCGCGAAGATTGCCGGAGGGCCAGGATTTGCTGCTCGCAGTAGCAGGCTTCTGGCTCGTGAAGACCTGGAAGCGCTTGGAGCCCGTGAGGGTCGCGCCTTCGGTGAGCTCGAAGACGAATTCGCAGGTGAGGCCTCCGGTCCATGCTGGGATTTCGAAAGTTGCGAGGGTCGTGATGTCGGTAGTTTTGCCGGACTTGAAGATCTTCCCTTCGTCAACTTTGTACTGCACTGCGCCGGTCCAGACTTCGTAGAGGGAGATGGCGGCGGGCTCGATGGTGGATTAGCGAGGGTTGATTGGCGGGGTCGGACAGCTAGTGCAAGGTTCTGGAACAGGTACACAGCTAGTGCAAGGTGGTGGAACGAGTACACAGTCAGGGCAGGGTGGCGGAGTGGGTGTACAGGTAGGGGTGGTTGGCGTAGTGGGTGTACAGGTAGAGCTGGTTGACGAAATGGTTGTACAGGTAGAGCTTCTTTGATATCCAGTGGGAGCAGCGAAGACGCTAAAGGTGAAGCCGAGGACGGCGGCGATGGCAGAGGAGGTGAACTTCATTTTGGTTGATTTGAGGAGAAATTGACAGGTTTTTTATGCTTGTATCTGAAGAAAGATCGAATAGTCGAAGAGTGAGTGTCGCAAGGAAAATGGTTGTTCCGAGAGACTGTTGAAAGGAAACAAGAAGATAAGGAACAAGGAGATTGTATTGATTGCTGATGAGATGAGGAGAATCAAAACCAGCAGTAACGGACGCCCACTATATACGACCATCCAAGATCCTTGCGGTCATATCAACCTCATGAGCTTCACCAGCGCTTGACAGCTGAGGTACAGCCCTCAGGTCGGCGTGGAGGCAGAGACCGGGGCGCAGTCTTGTGGTTTCTACATCCCGTCTGACAGCTGTGCTCAGCCTTAGGCATCCAAGATTCGCATGCTACGGTCGGCACAAGCGAGAAAGCTTAGCAAAGATCCGCTAGGGAAGCCATTGCTGTTCGTTCGAGAGCTGATAGGGCTAAACGAGCTGTGGGCAATCGGCTGGCTGAAAGTCGCCCATGAGACTGGTTGCCAAACTGGCCAGGTCTGCTTGGCCGACCGCAAGATCTTAGCTGCTCTTAGCTTTCGACCAAGCTCGCTCTATTCTGGGCATGTGACAGAACCTCAGCCTTCAATGTTGCTGGCACTACTGGACGATGTCGGTATGCTCTTGTCTCGAACTATTCCAGGAGCCCAAAGTCCAGATGCCAAGCATACACTAGTCGTACTCAGTTGGAATCTATTCAGAGATATTACACAGAAACAACAACTCGCACGAGCTGGAGGCATGTTGTTGTGGAAATCCACAGCGGGCTTGCAGGCGGGCTGAGAGCTGAGAATAAAGTAGTCACGTACAGTGCTTGCTGCTCGCTCGCTGCAGCTTGCTGCAAGACTGTCCATTGACGTTGAACGCCCCAGTTTTCGTTATCCAGTCATCTTTGCTTTGATTCCATCATTCTCTGCCTGAGCTGCGACGCCTATTGCTCGCGGCTAGAGCCGCTATGGCTAGCTGAAAGACAATCCACTGTCTCTCACATGGAGGAGTAATGCCGTGAGCATGCCATGGTGGGATGATCGACTCTAAGTAGCTACAAGGAGATCTCCTTCGGCGCTTACCGCAACCTGTACACTTTCGAGCGCAGAGGGCTTGAAAGGCGGCCTGCTATAATGTGGAGAGACATGGGTTAATGCCCCTGCTAAAGGGACAACGCTTGGCGTCATTACTAAGCACGGTGCCATCTTCGATCTCGAGAACAATAACGTCTGCCGCGGAGTGTTGCAAGCGGCTGAGTGTTGCAAGCGTCGCTTGATACCTAGGTAAGCAGAACGCTATAATTCTGCACCTCGTTCTCCGCCTATCAAACGCGGCGCTTGTAACACTCAGCTGCTTGCAACACTCCGCGGCAGACGTTAGCGGGGTTGCAGGGCTGATCAGCTCTGTCGTACTGAGTCATGCCTGTCGAAATAAGCTTATCTTAGTAGCTGAAGGAGCAGGGCTGAACTGAGTTACCGCCGCAGAGGGAGGCAAAAATCCATGGGGGCACGCCGCAGGATCTACGTTCTTATCATGCTCCTACGAGCGTTCCCCCGATTTATTTGCCGGCCATCTCCTGAACCTAAAGCTAGCATTTCTTCTACGAAAGCTTATGAACCTCCACGACTCTCCCCAACATTGATTTTTGGCACGACTATAATGTCTTCAACCAACTCTTATTACCAGATGAAGCCGGTATCGACGGCCTACAGCCCTCTAGCCGCTCTAACATACCCCCAGGGGCCATCAGAACCGCCAAGCCAACTACAGCAAGAAATAACAAGAGCCAAGAAGCGTGTCCGCGCCGTGGGCATACTTTCCCATGCCGGATCTGTTGTATTCAATAGCATTATGTTCGCGATCATAGCCTTCGTCACTAGCATCTTCCTGAGCACACGAACTGACAAGATCTATGGGCGCAACGTCTGGCCAGCTAAAGGCAAAACTTGGCCTACCTACATGCTGCTTACAGCATCGTTCATTACGCTTGCGATCGAGATTTTCATGTTATACTCCGTCTGGGTCCGCTTCAGTCGAGCGGAGAGAAACTGGAGATTGGTGCTGGTGGAACATCTAGTACATTTCTCAACGTGGCTGGTCGTCGCGTTCCTCTATCGATACGAAAAGAGACTGAAGGATATTTGGGGCTGGTCCTGCTCTGATATTGCGAAGCTGTTACAAAAGGACCTTAATGGTTCGGTGGATTTTAACAAGTTATGCAGTCTTCAGGTGGGTGATTTCCTATCTCTTTTCTCCTATGTTCACAAGCTAACCTGCAGTAGGGAGTCTCGTGGATATTCTCAATCATGGAGACAGTGGCTAAGGTGCTTTTTGCGATTTTGTACTTCATACTGTACCGGAGGGCGAAGGCAGTAGACTCAAAGCTAAGGCTCGCGGATAGCTTTGGCGAGGGAGTTGGTCAGCTTCTCCAGGCAACAATTTGATCTGGTGAATTCTAGACTATTTGACGAGTATCAATCAATAGCTATATTCTTTCCCACAAAGCAGCTGAGATGCGATCCGTTGTTATCAATCACCATACGTACCTTCAAACGACCGGTTAACGGTCTATACGACCAAGGTATCCATCACACTATTAACCATACCGTTCTTCTAGGGCCAGTGCCCTGCTTTCGTCTCTATGGTAGCTAAGCTTTCCCTAAATAAATGGCATCCTGGATAGACATCTCAGCTGAATGTTGAATTCCTGCTTTTAAACCTGCGCTTACTGCTCTCTTGTGCAGATGTGATTCTCTTTCGAGATACTTCACAATCTAGGCACACCGCTTTATAAGGCGGTAGAGCGGCATGTCCGAGAGTATGGTTCCTCCAGCACCTGGGTTCTTCTGTAATCTCACTTGGTCAGCGAGTGAACATGGATCATGTTCAGAGTGAGTGTTTAGCAATTGCGTCTCAGCAGTTGTATACGAAGCTTCTGAAAGGAATGTGACCATTATCGCACATTCTGCGGTGGCGTTTGAGGTTATTTATTATATGCATAGTCTCCTCTACAATGCGTCTCTTCACCCACTCAGATTGCTTCCTTCAAGTTTCTAGTTAGCTTTAACAACCTTTTTGAATAGTAATTCTCTATTTATAATTCTACTTTAGATAGTGGTAGTAGCTCGTGTTAGATGGTATAGTGTCGGGTTGGTCTTCTCGGACGCAAAATTCCCACGGCGGTTTCCGGGTGACGGCGGTTACTAGCTGGTGCCCTCGTATCGAAGAGAACTTAGAGGAATATAGAGACACGAGCAATGTTTCGAAGATATCACGCGGTCAAGAGGCAGACATCACGGAGAAAAAGGCTGTCGTAAGACGTTTTAGTGTCAATATAACCAGCACGTCGTCAACATACATAATGGAATTGTATAAGATCCACAGTCCGCACAAAGATAAAGACACGATAGGAAACAAGCCGAGAGTCCCTCCAAAGCAACCCGAAACCCCAAACCCATGATTCAATCCTCAGTCCCACACCCTACACTTTACCTTACACCACCTAATCCGAATCACTACCCGAGCTCGAACTACTCCCACCACCCTTGCTCCTGCTCCGCGAATGGTGCTGCTTCTTCTTATGATGCCCATGGTGACTCCCGCTATGGCTGCTGCCAGCGTACACGCCCAGCGTCCCCGTGCTCAGGTATGAGCTGCCGTGGTGCACGGAATCATCGTGCGAGGAGCCGCCACCGTGGCATGGGGAGTTTGGTTCGTGGCAGGACCCACAGCGGGAGCAGCGGCGCCACCAACCACCCTGCGTGGAGCCACCGCCCTGGCATGGGGAGTTTGGTGCATGGCACAACCCACAGCGGGAGCAGTAGTGCTTATCTTTCTTCTTTCTGCAGGCATAAGCGACACCGGTCAGCAACGTTTTGTGTTCAGTGTTGGATTCGTAGTGCTTGTAAGAGGAAATGGTAAGAGGAAATGGGAAGAGAGGAAGGGAGAAGGAGAGGGAGAGGACCGGACGTACTTATCGCAAGCTTTGTCCAATAAATTCGCCCCGACCACGCCGGCAATAATCCCGCCAATCGTCCCCAGCGGTCCACCGCACAACTTGTGCCCCGTATATCCACCTGCCGCCGCGCCCACCGTGTTGCCGAGGAAGCCGCGCTCGCCGTCTTGCGGGCCGCTAGAATCGCCGGGGACGCCATAGTCTCCAGGAGGGCCGGGCGCGCCGTACCCTCCGTTCTGGTTACCGCCGTAGACCTCTACTTGTCCTTGCGGGGGGAAGGGCGAGTGCGCGCGCTGATGCTCGTTGTAGGGCGCTGGGTACGGTGAGTGCGAGGGCGGCGGGCCTTGGTCGTAGCCGGGCTGGTGGGGAGTGGTATTATACCCGCCTTGATAGTCCCCGCCTGGGAGTGGGTAAGGGCTCTGCTTGGTATCAGCACCAGTTTCTAAATTCCAGGTTCCGCTGGAGATGAGTTGAGGGATGGATGAAAGGTCGGGGAGCGAGAGCGTGTGGAAGAAATTGGGGTTATGCGAGCGAGCGCACCTGTTGCGGCGGATAGGGACTTCCACCGTACTGCTGGCCGTAAACCTGGTACAGTGGTTGAGGGCCGCCGTCTCCGTAGACCTGGCGGCCTGCGCCGTAGTAATCCTGATTGGACATTCTCACAATCCAAAGTATTAATTTCTCAAACTCGAAGTTGCGCGCAGGTAGGCAGAGGTAGGGAGGTGGCTGCTTATAAGGCAAAGCTGATCTGCGGGGCGGTGCTTGGGGGCTTGAAAGCGCTTAAAGTCGCGGGAATAATAGACGGAGATTTGAGATATGCGCAAGCTAGATGAACCATGGAGCTGGACGATGGAGCTAGACAGTGGAACTGAATGATGGAACTGAACGATGGAGCTGAACGATGATCTGGACATAGGGCTGAACCATCGAGCTGAGGGCTGAACCATCGAGCTGAGGGCTGAACCATCGAGCTGAGGGCTGAACCATCGAGCTGAACTAGGTTTCACTTCACGTCTTCAGGGCTGAGCCTTCGTTACACTGAACCACGCTAGAGAGGTTGAGGGAGTTGTTGTCCAGCTGCACAGGCATACCAACCGCAAACCTCCTTGGCACCCTTCGAGGACCGTCTCAATTTGGCCGTTCGGGCAGCTCAAGGCGCTTTGAAAGACACAATTCGCTGCTGGCTTATGGCGATGAGATCCTTCGATAAAGCGTGTCCTGGCCGCAACTGTGCAGTGCAGCGTTGGTACGAAGTCTTGGCTAGGTCAGCTGAACTGCCCGCACGGCAAGAGCTGCCGCATCACCAACAGCTCGCAGCACGTCGAGGCCGAGACAAAGGCGCAAGCTGAAAAAATACGGTAAGTTCCTCTCAGCTACGATCTCGGCGAAGAGGGGGTTCTATAGGCTGGTTGATTGACTCCCTGTGCCGCTGAGACTAAAACCTTCGCTACCCCGTTAAGCTCCAAGGACTTTTGTTATCCCCATAATCTCACCAACATTATAGTGCGAAAATTCAGTTTCAGTATCGTTTTAATCCCTCTAGCCCTCCTTTCCCATATCGTCCTGTTAGCTGGAATAGGAGTAATGCTATGTGCTGGGAGTGGTCCAATCAAGAATAATCTCCCAAGAGATCCACGCCTATATATTGCTTTAGTGGGTTTCCTAAAGCATTTAGAACTTGGGGCATTTAAACTAACACTAGCTTGCAGATAGATATAGATTAGTACACTAGCGAAGTCAACGGTAGCACGTATAATGGTCTCCCAGACTCTCACGACTTTTCTAAAAGCAAGAACTTCTTCGGCATCTTTCTATCTCTATACTATAGCGGAACGAAGAAAGACGGTAAATACTCTACTAACTACTACTCTCTCTAGGGTAAGTAGTTCTTTGATCTGCATCGGCTCTAGCAACTCTAGGGCGTCAATCTCATCGAAAACAACCTTATCGGCTAAACTCCAAAGGTAGTCTACATCAGCCTCCTTACCGCCGGTACCGCCGCCACTCTCGCTATACTTCTTGGTTTCGTCGCCTTCTGCTCTTACTAGGGCGCCGTGCTCGCTATAGTCTTCTCATAGATCGCCGCTATTACCACCATCACTATAGCCGCTCTATCCCACATCTTCGCTAGCAGATTAGCCAGATACTCATATTGTAGTAGTGAATAACTTAATTAACTTATTAGAACTTATTAGCACTTGTACTAGATACAGGAAGAGCACAGCAATATATAGAAGTAAAGCATTCTAGAAGGTTCTATGTAGTGGCGACTATCTATAGTGAAGTCTAAATTCCTCTGTATAATAGGTAATACTAGAGGGGGCATGGAGATAGAATAATAATAAAGGTCGTCTAATATAACTGCGGGCGAGGGTACACGAATATAATTAACGCGCTAGAATATGGTATAAATACAGGCGCGACGATTGTATACCTGCAGGAGCCTTATATCAATAGCCCACAGCTAGTCAGCCACCCTAGCTACATAATACTATAGCTATTGGTGGGTAGGGTAAGAGACTTTAGAGTAGTAATAGGGGTGCGACGAGGGAGTAATATTTGGGTTAAACTGTGGACGGACCTAGTATACTACACGGAGGCGATTGCGGTAGACGTATAGGAGCTAGACGCAGTGATGCATATAGACGGGATAAGGTTTAGATTAGACGGGATATCTACTAAATCTTCGAGACCTTAGAGTCTAAATTCACTGTCCTAGATTAGATAAAATCTAGCCTCTATAGATATCTAGATATATCCAGTTATTCTTATCTATAGATTTTCCCTAGTGTTTTACCTAGTGTTAAGGTGCGGATAAGGCGTTCGGGGCATTTAATAGGCGTAGATAAGGAAATCCACTAGATAGAATAAGTAAAACTTAGTTTATTAACACACTGCAACGCGTCCCCTTTATTAATATATTACTAATGTCTCTAGCTATATACACTATTATTATCGCTATTGCTACCGCTATCACTATTAAGATAGCGCCTTCTACCGCTTTATCTTTTACCTACGCATTAAAGTAGCTAGTAGAAGCTCCTTCTACCTCTATAACACGTTAATTAAAGAAGAATAAGCTCTCTAATAAGCCCTCTAATAGGCCTAATAGGCCTAAGTATATTAAATCTTCCGCTTCTAGCACTAAAGCTAAATCTTCTCTATTATAACTAAATGCAATCTCTATCTACGACCGCTCCTACCATTAGGTGACTAAGCTCGCATTAAAGATAAAGAGGAAATTGAAGTTATTATACATCTAAAAGTAGAAGAGAGGCTTTGAGATTATTAACTTAGTGAAGTATATAAGACACTACTACTATCGTAAGTGTCTTAATAATAAGAAGGATCTAAAGTATATATCTTTAGTATTAGATAGTATCACTAACGTTATTTATTACTAAAGAAGTAAGTATAGTATTAAGAAGGCTGGGTCTTGAGTCTAGAGAAGCTCCATTACTAAGTAGCTTTAAGCTCAAAGTCGTCTGATATCGATTACTAATCTTATCTTTTATATTAACTTTAATGTCTTTAAGCTTCTCTTTATCTAATAGATTGTCTACTACTATATCGCGTTCAGTTAGATCGAAAACGTGTTCTTCCGGAATCTCTTTAAAACACTTAATAGAAGTATCTCAGCTCTTATTCCTAGCCGCTTTATAGTCTAATAGTGAGTAAAGGAGGAGTTCTCAAAGCGGAAGAACCTTCTTTAAGATAACCTACAAGATGCTCCCTCTAATATTCACCTCTCCTTTAATCTTTAGATATCACCTAACTACCACGCTATTATTGCTATCTACGCCCATTCTATTAATTAGAAGAAAACTCATTAAACTAAGCTATTAGCACTTTATAATATCGAAGGAGCACTCTAGAGAGAGTATAGCTGCTGTAATCTTAAAGGTCATTCGAGAATATAAGATAGGTAGTTGAATTAGCTTCTTTGTTCTTAATAACACGTCTTTGAATAATACTTATGTTAATCCAATTCTTTATACATTATATCCGAAGATGAGCGAGAAGTAGCGCCGACGAAGGTGTCTCTACTATCTAGGATATATTATTAACCTCACCGCTTAGGCTTCCATCTAGGTAAGAAGGCAGAGAAGACTATAGATAAGCTCGAGATAGCTTATCTTTAGAATAACTTTAAGAAGATTGCGATAATCTAGAGAAAGTAGGGCGCTCTTAAGCGAATCTATAATATTATTCAATCTATTAGAATGACGCTATAATACCGGTAGGAGTTTACAAGAATTATAGTTAAAGGGAGCGATTAGTTAATATTTAATTATCTTAAGGTGTATTATTAAAGACACCTTCGCGATAGCTAGCGTTAGAACTAAAACTTAGCTTAAGTCTAATTACTTTACTAACTATTATTAATTCTAGCTTATTTAGACTAACGAGATGCGATGGAACTCCTATTACTAGTCAATCTCCTAAGCCCTTGATCTTAGGCCACGAATTAAAGCATTTTATAACTACTCTTAAGCTAAAGCGTGGCGATAGCGTCAAGAAAGATTATCTTTAAGCTTAATACTAGAAACTACTTAAGAAGCTCTACAACGCGCTCTACCCCTTCTACGAAGTTACTCTCTATAGTAAGGGTAGGAATAATACGCTTAGTAAATAGTTTATGTCGATAGATTAACTTCTTAACTAAGCTTAGACGTTAATAGATATATTCTATAAGCTAAGAAAAGAGAACCCTAATTAGAAGGAGTTCGCTATTCTTAAATCCTTAGTAGTAGCATCTTAGGCGAAGATAGAAGAGTACTATAAGAAGGCTAATAAGAGCGCTACTTACTACGCCGTAAATGTTCTTCGCCTACGAATAAAGTAGGTATAGTTTTATAAGTAGTGGGATAATTACAATATCAAGGAGACTTAGCTTGATAGTAATAGCGTCGACGATTACGGCATTAAGGGTAAAATAAGAGAGCTATAGAAGGAAGAATATAGAGGTAAGTTTAGGTCTAATTTATTATCGCAATCTTAGCTAAAGTAGTAGATATAATAGAAGAAGATCTCTAAAGTAGTAGTTAAGAGTAATATCTTTAGAGGCCTTTATATATATAGAGAAGTTAATAATACTTCTCTTAACTCCTCTATTAATTAATACGCTGCCTACTATTCTACTAATTATAAGCTTAAAGATCTACTCCCTTACTAGAACGCGCAATATAATAGTTAGCTAAATCTCGCCCAATTTACTCTTAACATATTCGCTATTCTATTAATATTAGTAGAGTGTAAGTGTATCTTCTTAAGCGCAAAGTATCTTATTACTAATACCCGGAACCAGCTTCTCCCAAATATTATTAAAGCTAACAAATACCTTAAAGCGTAGTTTAGTGAGCTAGAGGAAGGAGCTTTCGACGACGATAAGCTTAAGGTAATTGAGAAATACTAAGAGATAATAAGAGTAATGATAAGGGCGAAGATATAATTATAATCGTCGATAGTGAGATTAAGTTAAGGGATTTATAGCTACGTTAGTTATCTATCACGATTCTAAGGTCTTTACACTATGAATCTAACTTTAATAGGCCTTATTAGTAAAAGAGTAGAACTTTACTTCCTCTCTATACCTCCTCTTAATTCTTCTACTCCTTAACACTATAAACTACTATGTTAATGCGCTAAGAATGCTG